GAACCAGTGAATCAGAGAATGAATGAGCCGAAAGGAAAATCCCGCCGCGGTCCCGCCCTCCGTGGCCCTTCCCGGGAAGCCGGCCCCGTGGCTCCCGTCCGAGGGTCTTGGGCGACTGAGGGACGGCGAGCAGAGCGGTCCGGGGCTGTGCGCCTTTGCCTGCCGTTCACGTACTCAGTCTCCAGAAACCAGCCCCGGGCTGCCTCAGGCACCCACGGGCCATTGTTAAAATGTGGGAGCACTGCTTTAGGGAATCCCGTTTTAGCCCCAAAGTCTGCAGTTTCTGGCAATGTATGGGAAGCTTTAAGGGATAAGACATTCCACTTATCTGTACCTTTTCACGTCAAAGTCTGTCTTACCCTATCGAAATTGTTCGCAGTACGGGTGTTGGCGTCTTTTCTTAGCCCTGAGCTATATCCCCGAGTATTACACACAAATACTGATTTTAATGCAGGTTCGACTTAGGCAGGCTTAGGTTTCTTTCGATTTACGTCCTTATTATGACCTTCATGTAAAGTTGATCTTCGAAGGAAAGGAAAAATAGTACTAAATTGCCTTTCACTTGGCTATATACTTTGTTAGCATTTAAGGGATTGAACTACGATCTGGAATTGGCTTCGTTGAACGGTCAGCATTCTTTTTTCATGTCTTCCTGCCTGCTCTTTAATAGTTTCTGTATTTTGAATTTTCACCCCCCCCACACACACACGCAAATCACGTAATTCTGAAATTCTGGCTTTTTCTAAGGATGAGTGTTCATTTCTCTATGCTAGGACCAAGTCCTAGTTTGATTAATTGCATTCTACTTCCTGATAATCTTGAGAATTTCCAAGTGGTTGCAGTCTTTCTGTACAATCTTTTCCGACCTGGTGCGCAATCTGTTCCAAACTGGTATTTAGAACTGTACAATATAATTATTTGACTGTTTTACACTGGAGATACCTGTACTTTGGAAATACATGCAATTTGTATTTTAAGTTTAATAGGTACTTCAATAATCTGGTGTAAAATAACACCATCACCTAAACTAAACATGGTGGAGGTGACCAATTCCCATGACTTGTCTTCCTTGTTGAATTCGTCATTTATTACTTGTAAT